CTTTTTGTTTCATGGGCATCAATCCCCCCCCCAATTTTCCAATTGGGTAATATTGTATCAATATGGGCGATTCATAATAGTGTGCCTCTAAGAGTTTGCAACACGTTGGCCAATCACAATACATGAAATCTTTCACCCTTTCCAAACGGTACAGACCAGCAGAACAAAAAAGTTGAATTCAGCTACAAAGCTGAATTCTCACACCCCTGTAAACTGGATCAAACCTTATGCTAAATTATTGAGGAATATTTCAGTAAGTGAAGAATATTACATTTGAATAATTCTTAATTTCATTTTTTTTTCCACAGAGAATGGACATCAGGAAGTTTTTTCAACTTCCAAGCCTGATATGAGTGCATCATCATCCTCATTGACAGAAAAGGCAACATCAAGTTCACTGGAAGGGAAGCACAGTTCTCAGGAAATAGCTATTGCCCCAAGTGCAATTGTACATTTGTACATGCACTTTTCCAACACTCCTAGATCAGCCATATCAATCTCCAGTTACAGTAGTTGCATCCTGGTTCAAAGACTTCAAAACCGCAACCTACGTTTCCAAAAACAAAGGTTCGTTGACTTTCCATGGCTTCATTTTGATGAGTGCATTGGAGGAGTACTACACCACAAGTGTACCGTTGCTTCCCAACAAAAGCTGTCCCAATGGGCCCGATGCACAGAAGATGCATTTGTGACAACAGGATTTAAAAATTGAAAAAAAGGAATGGAGAAATTCCGAAACCACGTAAAGTCTTTAGCGCAATGGCTTTTTCCACTTATCTCCCCAGCAAGCTCACCATGACCTAACAACGACTCAACCACCTCATGATTTGTCATGTATGCATCTACATGTAGATAGGTTGGCATCATTGAATTGCACAGGAATTTATCAAAAGATCAGCAGATAGTCAAATGCTGGTTTATGGTAAATTTCAATTTTGAGAGACTCAACAAAGATTCACAACAAAAATCAATACGTGATTATAACACTGAAGTTAACTTGTGCAGAGCAACATTGCATTTGACATAAAGAAGCATAAAAAGGGAACTTGATAAAACTGGGAACAGATAAAAAATCTGGTTTTGTTCACAAAACCAAATCATTCTTGTAAATGTTAAAGGAACTGGAGTCATCATCCCAGGGGACATGCAAAGCATTGGTCTACCATACTTGGGGATGCAGATATCGAGTGCAGAAGGTTGGAAGCTCAGCGTTTAAGGGAATGCAAAGGAACTCATGTGAGGTCTGTCAATCATGCAGTCTTGACTATCTCAGGTTGAAGCATCCGCTCGGTAGGACAGACCATCCGGAAAGAGCATCTGCCAGATTGTTCTCCGCTCCGGAAATGTGTTTGGCATAGAGACTAGTCAAGTGTTCTGTGGTCCAGTGATGAAGGCACTAGGTTAGGAGGCACAGGTCAGGCGAGCACATACTGTACCTCCCTGGTGGTTGATACAATGTAAGACAGCTGTTACATTGCCTGTGTGAGCCTGACTTTTGTCGTCCAAATTTTCAGAAATTTCCTGTCTCCGGAAAATTGTGCATACTTGTGCCATCTTTACTTTTTTCATCTGCCCAAGGAGCTACCGGTATTGACCAAGATACTTTCCCCTGCACCGCAGAGTTGATGAACCCATTACTTCACTCATTTCTGCTACGTCAGTATAGTTGAGTTTGCAACGAATTTGAGTGCACTTATTGCCGCGTGGTCTGAAACTGGGGGGGGGGGGAGGTGTTCAGTTTTCAGCCAATTTCTTAAAAAAGGAAACTCTAAAAGCCATTCTGATTAAACAGACAATAGATGCAAAAGTTGATATGACTGTTTAATATGACGAAAGACTATGGAATCACACATAGTGAGCGACTTATCGCCCTTTTTAGGTTTTTGTTTTTTGTCACTTGTGATTTTTTACAAACCCCTCAAAAATGTCAAAGTGCAAATTGGAAAGCTGGCCAAACTTTCTTTCTACAAATTTTCTGCAAACAAATTTTGTACAAGATTTACTTTTACTCCAAAGGTTCTGCACACATTTTTCAACAGGCGCACTTTGGCACTATTACCCATCTGATGGAATTCATATGTCTTAACCAACCAGCTACACAAAACAAAATCGTCATAACGACACCATCAGGTGTCACATGGCCTGAAATTAAAGGTGCATCATTTAAGCCCAATACCTCCTGAGCTACATGTACATGTATGTACATATCCGATTTGGTTGAAACTTAGCTAGAAAAGAAGGTATTAAAGGCGAAATTTGACCTCATCTGATGATGATGTCATCAGGTGATGTCATCAAGTCTTGTGACACGAAAGATGCATCCTTTAGAATGCTATATCTATATCTATGCTATATGCTACATGTATAAGGGAAGTGTTTTAGACTACTTTTTCTCCATCTTTTCTGTTCAAAAAATCTACAAAAGCAAGTAGCGTGTTAGCCGCCTAATACTGGATGTACTCATGAGGTTGATAATGTACATAAGACTTGCATATTGTGTTCCTTCTGTGGGTGTGTCTGGTTGTCAAGGGGTCTTTTGTTTGGCAGGGACTGGCGTGATCTCCATAATTCCCTGGCAAGGAACAGCTGGTCATTTTTACGATGCCTCCTGAACAGTTTCTAGCTGTACACCGTTTAAGTCACCAGAGTAGCCAAATATTGTACATGTTTTTACAAACCCTGGCTATACTCCTGGGCAAATAGTGAAAAACAAATAGTATTTACAAGCAGAACTGCTCAAAAAGGTAAATGGCTGCAAAAGATGTATATATCAGCTTAAAACTTTCCAGGGCTATTATTTTAATTTGCAACGGAACCTCATCATACATGTACATTCACATGAATATAAAGCTGAGGAATAGCTAGCAGGATGTCCTAAATGTACAACACATGATGCGATATGAAGGTCCAATTTCAAGATGTGAACCATAAACTTCTGCCTATTAAAGTATGTAAAGCAAAAACAGTATAATGGCCAATTTCATGATACTGTTTTCTTGTAAACAGTGTCCCACTGATTTCTCCAATGTGAACATAATTATTAAACCGACCTTATATTCTGCTTTGCAGCTCCATGAAACTGGGCTCACGGATCTACATGTACATGTACATGTATGACATGTGGTTCATCTGATGTCTTAATGCATGTACACTTACCTTTCATGCACGTTTGGATTAGCACCCATCTCAAGTAAAATGGTCAAACATGATGTAACATGACCCTTTTCCTGTTCACTTGATGCAGCTGCAATCAATGGCGTGTACATATCTGTGACATTAAAAAAATGACAGTCAAAATTACTTCACGGACTTGAAGTAAATGAGTTTTATAATCTTTAAATAAATTCATACACGAACACTTGAAAAGTTTGACAAATAGTGTATTTTAAAAATTTTGAAAATCGGTCATTTATTTCAGGAGTTATGATCTCTCAAAGATATCCAGAATGGGATAATTTTAGAATGCAGAATAAAAAAGAGGTGGATTACATAGGACAACTGATTCCCCAACTCTGTGATGATGGACTTGGGTTTCAGCATTCGTGTATTTTTCAAATAAAGTTAATAAAATGAATTGTGAATGGAATCTCAGTAAAATTTGGCAGATTTACATGTAGTGACAAATTGTGCTAAACGTAATACCAACTTCAGATTTTCATTATCATGATGCCAAGTACAGTGTAATCTGCCCCAAGATGAAGTGCAACCCAGAGCAGCAAAAGAAAGACAAATGGTAGTAATTTTTCCAAGCAGGTTTTTGTACGCGTTTTGCATGTACACAAAGACCATACATTCAAGAATAAATTTGTTACGCGTACTCAGCATGCTCTGTGTCAAACGTGCCACTGATATCCATTATAAACGCACGCCTACCAGTATGCAGTGAGTACATACCCAAAAAACATGCCCTCTTTCGTTTCGTTCGCAGCAGAAACATGTAGCATGAAATATTTAAATTCAAGAGCCAAACTAAAGTTTCTCATCATTGCAGCAGGTTTATACCAGTTTCTGACATTTGCATCAACCATAGGCCTATCACATGAACATACAGATATTATTATTACTACCACACAATTACACCTTAAAAATGTAGAAAATCCCGTTTAATTCAATTTATAATGTAACAGAAAAACAAGGCCACTTTAATACACTGATTATATTCCGAGTATCACGTCCATGGATCCGATAACGTGTACCAGGAACCATGCCTAACTATGTACTGATATATAGACACACCATCAATACACATATGCATATTAGTACCACACACATGGTATTGTTGCGTTCCCGAAATATCAAGTCAATGGTAGCATGGACTTTATTAGTGTTTACAGGATGTGATATTTGGGGTCAACAATTTATTAAAAAGTGGACCGAAAAAGGGGCGTTGGGTGACAGTCAAACTGTATAGTTGGTTTATTACTCGAGATCCCTTTTCTTCATCAAGGTCAATGTGGGTTTGAAGAAGGTGTAGCTTAACATAATACAACACACAAAAGGCAAAGTTATAGAGAGGCGAAGTTGTACACGAGTGTAACTAAACTACGGTTTGGCAGGACCATTGGAAATGCAAGTCAGACGGAGTGGGTACGGTACGTGTGTGTAGCATCGCACAGCTAGGCTACACTCATCAGGCCGGGCCGTGGTGGGAGCTGTCCTGGACCACCACGGTGACTAGCAAGGGCTGGATGGGGCCAGCGCCGGTATGTACCGACCGCACTGCCGCTCAGACCGCAATGTGATGAACGCAATGATAAAGTCACCGCACTATGTACCATTGGCTCAGCATAGAGACGGGGAGGACTGGGGCTAGTTATTAAGACAAGGGTGGCGAGGGACACGGGGGTGTCTCGCCCGGCGATCGGTTCGGACGTAGCAGTGACGGGCCGCCAGGACTCTCGCTAGCACCCTGGGCTAGTCTGTGCCGCTCTCACATCGGTCCAAGCTAAGCTACATGTAGCTAGCCATTCATATGATTACATTTCTTCGCCATAAGAATGGTTACTATCGCACTTCTCTCGGAAAGGGTCCAACCGCCGCACTACGTTAGGTTCCGCTCTGGCAACAAGGGTTTGGTCCGCCACACCTGACCGACGAGCAGGGAAAATCTGCTCCATTTATAGGATTCTAGAGGCTTAGGAATTGAGAGTGTTGCTGAACAGCTCAACCAATGAAAATCTTCCATCTCAAAGGTCACATGACTTCCTGCTAGAGTCGTGTGCAAGAATCTAAGTGTTGTGTGCAAAAAGGTAAAATACAGAATAGGAAGTCATGTGTACAAAGTGTAGAGCCCCGTGCGTGAAAGTGCTTACCCAGTCATCTGTGGCGAATGATTGATAGTTACAAAGTCTGAGGTTTCTGAACATTAGCATTTCAGGGAACCTTACCACGCCAAACCACGCAGCCAGGTGGAGGGGAATTTCGACATGCCAAAACTGAGCAGAGAAAACACCAGGACAAAGGAGTGAAGGAACACGCGATTACGCCAGAGTACAGCATGAATAACTTAATACAAAATTAGCGTCTCTGCTACATGTCCATAATGCATAGCTGAGCTAGATGAGAGACCCTGAGAAATGCAAAGACCGAGAACGAGTAAAACTAGGCATGCTACATGTAGCTAGGGGGTGCTTGATTTGTGGGTGTGCAACAGTATATTGCCAACCTACAGTATGCAATGCACATGGCTCACATAAAATGGCCTTATAATGGCTGCAAACTCCTACAGTAGTACTCTCATTGGTGAGGCATTATTCCTGGTGATATTCAGTGAAATATTTATACTTTACTCGGGAAATCCAAGTCTGTTCCTGGGAAGTTGAAATTTTCTGATCAGAGAGGTACGTGTATTTCATCCATAAACTTCACTAAACTTGGACTGACATTTAAGTACAAGTAGCAACGTGAATGCACACTGCTACAAAGTCATGCACTAAATCCTTTGATGAACCAACATGTACAGTGTAACTCTGATTCGCTGCCAAGTTTCATTAGCATAGGAGTGTAGGGTTCCAAAGTAAAATGAAACCAGCTCTTGCAAAGGCAGCTCAGCAGAGTTAATTACGGCTAATAATGCAACACAATTATCGCTCTTGGCAAACTTTTCAAACTTACAGTACATTAAAAAAAAAATTTTTTTTAAGTTATTTTTGTTTCACTATAAAACTTGGGGTCAGTAGGAACATGGTATGTAAACCAAATCAAGAAAATGACTGTAAAATTTTCATTGAAAAAATCATGTGATAACATCATCATATGGAATCTGTCTAATTTTGGCATATGATACATCTTGGTTTGTGTTGTGCCAAGTTTCAACCCAGTTGGAAGGATGGTTCTAGAAACAAGGCCTGCAACGAATTCTTGCGATACATGATAGCATCACCAAGACAGTATGCTTCTGGAACTATCTAAGGTCTTTCATGAGTAAACTTTGATGAAGGTGCTTACATTCACTTCCAAAGGACTAAATTCCCATGCTGAAAAATATGAACAAAGTCTATGGATCAGGGGGAGAACCAGGAGAAAAAGAAACAAGGTCTACGGTTTGGAAAAATATACACAGTTTGTCACATGGTACAGGCATGTGCTTTAAGGCATTCACAGTGGAGTGAAAAACATATGAAAAGTCTATTGGATTTGCAAAAAATGCATAAAAATCTTGAAAAATTCACTGGATAAAGTAATCACGACATTACAAAAAGAGAAAACATTCATGTATTTTTAATTTTTTTTATATTTTAAGTGTCAAGTACAATGTAATGCAAGATAATGTCTTAACCCCTGCGCTATGGAGGACTGCTACTACCGCACCCTTGTGTGAGGATTAGTGCATACCACACATACAGTCCATTCACCATGCAGCTGCTGGTTCAATGGGGCCTGCTGCTGGACAAAGCCCTCCCTTCAGGGCATACCACAGCCCAACAGTCGCGGTTAAAATAATTCCACGGTGAAAGGGTTAATCAGTGATTACTAGAAAGTAGTAAATATTCAAATATTCAATAAAATTTCGAATGGTGATGTCATCAAGATGTCATTACATGAATAGGCCAAGGAGCTTTTACCTACCTAGTGAATTTCAAGTTGACCGGACGGTGTTCAATATGAGAATCAGAAGTAGTACTTTTTGACAATGCAATTATGATGCCAAAAATTTCCAAACAATCCACACATCTATCTTGCCTACTCAATGTTTAATCTATAGAGTATCGAAGTGAATACGTCACACGCACAATTAGTGTGTAAAAGGCATTAGCGTGAGAACCAGCGCGTGAACCAACACGCGCACGTACTCCATTCATTTGCACTGCACTTTCTGGTTCACAGTGACTTCACACTTCAGTACTCTATTATTTGACAAGCAATTCAAAAGTTCATCCTATAGTATTGATTTTTTGGCAATTTTTTAAAAATAGGCCTCTTCACTGTACCCGATGACACCACCAGCATGAATTAAAGTGAATGTATCAATTTTCAAGTTATTAGAACAGACTTTGCAACAGACATCAACTCAAAATAAATTTTTCATTTGGTTTCCAACTTGTCACCAGTATTTGGTAAAAATGCCAGAAACAAAGATGAGCTTCAGCTGAAAAGCTTTGGAAGTAAAATTGTAAAGTTCTTCCTAATTGTTAACAGTGTCCTGCATTTTTACAGACCTGGTCCACTACTTCATAAAGATTAGATCTCTTTAAAAACTTGGAGTAATATTTGAATCACTGAAATTCAATAAGAATTTATGGCATCCTAATATGTTTTTAACAAATCAACAGACAGCTTGCTTACATGATGCCTTGTTAAAGTTAACATCAGCCCCTTCTTGCACAAGGTATTCCGCAATCTGAGTATTTCCATAGAACACTGCATACATGAGAGCTGTCCATCCTGCTCTCAAGGAAGTATCTACTGGAACACCTGATAAACAAAAAATACACGTACATTTGTGATTTTCGGGGGGGGGGAGAACTTAATCTTAATCAGAATGTATACATGGAAAAGTTTAAAGCAGGCTTAAAAGTTATTTTTCAAAGTTATGTTCATTTTGTACATGGGATTCAGTTTTAAAAATTGCAATAACTGGCAGCTGCAATGAAAGACAAAAATCTAGTTTGTATACGTCATGATGAGTGTCTGTAGAATCAGTCAAAGCTTAACCAGAGCATGAAACAAGTTGAAAGGTACACTTGGCATCAGTGTTCTAGCTGGGGTGGGCAGCGCCGGGCGGTACCACCTGGTACTGTAAATTTCCACCCAGCTCTGGGATTAAAATTGGCTGTGCCGCCCAGCACGGATTTTCAAAAAAATTAACAGAAATATTGCTGAAAATGTACCAATTTGCTCGTATTTCAAGCTTACAAAGTTGCAGTTTTACACTATTTTGCAATTTTAAATAAGTAAAGACCTAAGAAATAAATTTCTCATTTTCTTTGTATCGACTCAGCCGCTGATTGCGAAGCATTATTGTAAACATGCCTTCACAATGACGTAGGGGGAAATCCCTTCTTGGATTCCCCTAAAAACCCAGCTACAGTATGGGCTGTGAGAGCTCCACTCACTGCGCTTGCTGCGCTTGGTAAAAATGGCACTAAAATGGTCCTAGCTAGAACAGCATAATATCAAATCAGTGATTTCAGAGCACTGATTTGATATTATATATTCTTGTTGATATTCCGATCACGGTGCTACGCAGCCCTTCCATATTTCTCTAGCTAGAACAGTGCTTGGCATACCGCTAGATGTCTAGAAATGTATATCATTGAACATGGCAAACCACATGCCTTGTTAGAAATGTAATATTATTCCGGATGGTGGCCTCATTGAAACCGCACAATATGTCAGAGCACTAACGTGGGACTAGGTGTGACCTCGTTTCACTCATCATGTGATAAGCAGTGTTGTAGTACTTGCACTCAAGTACATGTACTACTCAAGTAAGTTTTCAGAGTACTTGTGTCTTACTTGTTCTCAAATTTCCAAGTACTCATACTCCAACAACAGCTCTTGTACCTGGGCTGCAAAATGCTCGGAATGAAATTGTACTCAAGCACGGAGGTACTTGATTAACAGTACTCGATAAAAATCCTTTGAATCTCATAATGGCCATTGAAATACAACAGTGCAAGAAAATCAATCCTCAAAGACCAATATTTAGTACGGTCTGACAAATACATGTACAACGCCTACACATTCACCGCCTTCGCTAATTACGAATGCGAAACGCCGGTATATTCCTAGTCTTGGTTCCAAGACCTTCATGTTTATTCCGCAACACAAATCATCACTAGACATAACGGCCAGAAGGGGTACTGTCACTGCGTGTCCCCTTGTAAAGTACACATACATTGTACACAGCACACTGCATGCAATGACGAATTGCAGCACCGCAAAAGGTACATGTATCTAGAGTCCAAGACTAGTAACACTCAATTCAGTTGTAGCTACGATGTAGTCTGGTTCCTGGCCCTGACATGGAACATAGACAAAACACTGGCATAGGAATATTAAGTCCGGAAAGCAGATTTCACCATCTACATGCATAATGCATCATGAGCTGGAGTTGTACTGGTACATGTACATGTCCATGGCCACGTCTAAGCACAGATCACCAATCACAACTACATTGCAATGTATGTTGTTCCAGAATTTACATGTTTGGGGTTGGCATGACAATCACAGAGAGTTTTAGCTGGTAACCTTTGTTTTTGAGCAGGGTTTTTCGGCACTTCAGCAAATTTTGTACTTAAGCAGCTTTGTAAATTTGGGCTATGCATCAAAAGCATTTGCTAAATTCTTGATGCTTTTACATTTTACCTCTCGGAGATAAAAGTACTCATACATGTACTTGTATTTGGAGGTACAAGTACTTATTCTTGAAAATCAGTTCTTGTATTCGGCTGATAAAGTACTCAGACTTTCAGGTACTTGGAAATTTAAGTACATGTGCATGTACACAGCCGTACTCTGTACTCGGAAAAAAGTACTCAACTACAACACTGGTGATAAGGGGACAAATTAGGAAATTAAGTAAACAATAGCCTGTTACATGCCTCAAAAACTTTCTTATTCAGCGGGTGCCAGTTGAGTGGGTGTCAGTTGAGGGCCTAAGCTGGCAACTACCACTGCTGTTGGATAATGGATATGATGGACTTGGTGCTACTACTTAGCAACATTAATTGGAAACTAGAAGTTTTGCTTGTCTTAGAGACAGAGCAAATGGCTTTTTCACATTTTCTTTTTATTAGATATAAATGCATGTTTGTAAATGTAGGTTGCAAACTACTTATCAATTTCACACTTCTTGCTCAAAGATATACCCAAGAGCTACAAATAAAGTCACTCACATAAACAGAATGCTCAAGTCTGTGGCTATAAGAAAGTATAGGAAATTTTTGAAGAAAAATGCATCTTTAATCTCATGTCACGTAACACCTCAAAACATCAGTAATAATTTTTTATGAAACCCTTTAGGGACGATGGATGAAGTCTGTCAGATGGATATGCTTGAGCATATGACATACCACATGTACAATGTACATGTAAAACCGTATGGAGAAAACTACCTTTAATCTATTTTTTTTACAAAATAGTACTTGATACTCTGACACTTATATTTGTAATTGAATGAAGGGAAAATTTTTATACAATTTCTTTTTAATTCTCATGGAATCCTAAACCAAAGTTGAGGACCAATCAATTTCAGTTACACATGTATATATCTGAAGATTCCATTCTAATGTCATTTCATGTGACCCCTGATGACATCATGGTGACATAAAAGTGCTCGAGTCTGTGACATTGGACAAACAATGGGCAAAATCTATGTACATGTAGAAAAACTGCACCTTTATTGTTCAAGTCAATATGTATGTATGTATTTGAATCGAAAGTTTGTACAAAATATTGTGGCTGAATTACCAAGATACCCCGGACTATGAGTGTTCCCGCAAGGTTCGCCACAGACATCTACTCAAAAAAGATAAATTTTTCCAACTTATTGCCAGAGGGTACTAATAATAATAAAGTAATTTATAAAGCACAAACAATCACAAAAGAATCTACCTCAAGGCCCTTGTACTAAAAGTAAAACATTCTGTAATATTACAGTAAACATCATTATAGAATTAATACAAACACTAATTATACAATAACAATGCTATTAATACAAACATTAATTCAATTTATAAACAATCAAGTATAATCAAAATAAAAAGGACAGGGTATTAGCAATGCCCGAACAACCCCATATATATCAAACGTTAAGAATAACTGTCTAAATACACTAAAAACTAATCTACAAACTGTGATTTAGTTCCATTGATAAAAAGTAAAAATAAGAACCGAATACATATGAAACTTAACCCATTTGGACCTCAAGACAAAAATATCCATGATCAGATTTAGAGAATATCATTAGTTAAAATACTGACTAAAAAGATGAGTTTTCAACCGACTTTTAAAAACATCAAGTGTCAATAATTCCCTGACATACAAAGGCAGACTGTTCTGGAGATAGGGAGCAACAGCGCCAAATGCTCTGCCACCGTACGAGGAGGTCTTTGGAGGGGGGGAAAGCTCCTGCAAAAGCATACGTGATGCAGACCTCAATTGACAAGTGGGTTGATAACNGATCTGAAATGAAGGATTTCAGTTTTCTCATCATTGAACAGCCCAAGCCCTGATCTCACTTACATACTCCTCAAGGCGGTGGATGGCTCTGGCAGCTTCAGTCCGCTTAAAGATCAGATACACTTGCGTGTCATCAGCATACATGACATGGTTGGCGTTATGTCTGGCCATGATGTCACTAATAGGGGCAGTGTAGAAGGTGAACAGAGGAGCACCACATACAGATCCCTGTGGAACACCCCATGGCATAAGCTGTGCAGCAGATTCAAAGTCACCAATAACCACAGTTTGGAAACGATCTGCAAGGTACGATCGAAACCAGTCAAGGACAGACCCAGTCAAACCGTAGTGATGCTCCAAGCGATCAAGTAAGATGGCATGGTCTATTGTGTCGAATGCAGAGCTAAAATCGAGGAGAATAAGAACTGCCTCTTGATGCTCATCAATGGCGAGAAGAACGTCATTCTGAACTCGGAGCAAAGCAGTCTCAGTAGAATGATGAGATCAATAAGCAGACTGGGCTTTCGCATAAAGATCATTCACTGCGAAATAGTTCTTCAACTGTTGCATACAACATCTCTCACGCATAAAGCTTAGGAGCGACACCGGTCGATAGCTTCCCAATTTGTTTCGATCAAGCTTGGCCTTTTTGATCAAAGGAACAACACGAGCAGATTTGAAACTTTGTGGTACAACCCCAGATGACAGGGATAAAAGTTGACGATCTGAGTTATGTTTGGCAGCAAGACGTCGACGCACTTCTTAAGTAGCGTGGATGGAATGGGATCCAGTTTACAGCTCTTTGCAGGCGAATCCATAATCACTCTCCCAACCTCAATCTTCAACATTTATAATAAAGTCCAAGATGACATCATCATGACATTTACTTATTACTTGGGGACCATCTCTCTGCTAAAGTCCTTTGTTGTACATGTACTGTAAGATCCGAGATTGCTAATTGAACAAAAACTGTGTACAAAGTCAAAGTCCAGGCGAGAAAAAAGTGTACAAATTGAATGCATTTTTGTAAAAAAGAAAAAAAATATATGTACACTAAGAGCACATGCATGGTTTTGACCTGATCGGACAAACACTTCAGAATATACATGTACATGTATAATGCTTTTGCTGGCACACAACCAAACTTGGGTCTATGTGACCACTACCCTCCTAGCTACAGCTGTTACTCTACATACTGATTCCTTTCAGCTTGAGGAATCTGCCCACCCATTTGCCAAAGCATGACAACACACAATTTCCCTGCCACGTGGTTTGCACGTCGCCAAAGCAATGGTCCCGAAACAGTGTGGGTCCATTATACGCGTTACATACGTGTGCAAAGCATACATGTACACGTACAATATGGCTCTCACCGCAACAGCTCGAACTCCTACGGGTCACCTTGCTGGCACTACCAGCAAATGGCAATTTATTTTCCATTAGCAGTGCTCAGCGTGTATAAACAATGCAACAAGCCAAACAACTTGGACAAGGGTAATTCCAGAAATTGGGGGTCTATTTTTTGTGTGTTCCTGTCACATCTTACATATGATTTTGTAAGTTCAGAACACACTTTACCTGCTAAATAAATAATAATAGTTTGAAATCAATTCCACAGTGATATTTCCATATCAAGTAACAAACGTCAGATGTAACAGGGGCACGAATTTGTCCCCTAATTTCTGCAATTACAAACAACTGATGCAGATATTTACTCTAGTTTAGATGGGCAACTTCAGACTGTAACTGTCGGGAGTGCTTTTTCCGCTATTTATCATAGATTAAAGGTCTTTTCATTACAACTTCCAGTCTGATGGTGTCATCATCCCAAATTTTCAAACAAACGGCAAGCATAAAGGATTATATCAACTAACTTCAAGCAATTCCAACCAACTTTGCCACAGACATCTATTCAAAATATAATTTTAACAATTTCAACCCGTCACAACAGGGCGCTCCAAATTTTCATGAAATCTCTGGTAGATGTTTTGAAGAGTACCATTTGGCTAGAGACTAAAGCAATTTCATATCTTTCACCAATTTTGAATTATAAGCAACTTCCGGTTTCGACCGGAAGTAAGGGTCATGTGACCTTTACGCACACAAGATGAAATGAACATCTCCTTTTATTTACTACCACTTTCCACAAACCTCAAGTCACGGGAAGTCATGGTTGATTTCATATGGATTTTTAAAGATTAAAATTCAACCATCTTTTAATGGACTGTAGTTCGACACCTGATGATGTCATCATGACATCACTATTTGAGGACCATTTCTTTGTTAAGGTCCTTCTTTGGTGTAACTGTAAGATTCAAGATTGCTACTCGACCAAAAAGGCCTCTTGAAAACTGTGCACAAAGTCAATTAGGAGGTCGTCAGTGTATTAGAGTAAACAGTGCTCTTTGGTCTTCCTATGGTGTAACTTTTATGAAGATATATCACTGCTAAGTGACCAAAATGACCCTTGCAATCTGTGTAAAAAAAATGAATGGCACAAAATGAATATTCAAAATTGCATAATAAATCACATGACATCATAATAATTTCATGCTTCAAGGCACATCTCTGCCTTAAGGTCTTTGGTTTGTGCAAATTACATGAAAATATCGACTTGCGAGGAAGAACAGGCGAAAAAAAAGAAAAAAATCTTGACAAAAAGAAAACTTCACAAAAAGAATGCCTTTTTCACAAACTGCAATAAAGCCTCCCTCCCCCAAAAATTAAGAAAAATAAAAACAGTTTCAGCCGGTGCAGCACCACCTAAAAAAAATCAAGAAAACAAAGGCTGTTTCGACTGGTGCCCAAAACGGCTTATTTGTAAAAAAGAATAAGAAAAACAAAAGCTGTTATGGCCGGTGCCCCAACTTAAAAACAAAAATTAAAAACAAAAGCAATCTAAAAAAGTTTTTAAAAAGGCTTGCCCACACTATGTGGAAAAGCAAGAAAATCGAATTTTTTTATTATATTAGGAAAAAAAAATTTAAATCCCTTTTTTAAAATCATTCTTTTTATGTGGCTTTTGGTCCTGAAGTTCAAGACATGAAACACCATGTGATGACTAAAGGATCCACTGCTGACTGCTGAGGCTACTAAGTTTGTCATATATTGAATTGTTTACTTCTAATCAAATAACAAAGTTGGCTTAGTACAGTTACATGTACCTGTACCCTGAAGTATACACAAACTCTTGGTATGAATACACTGTTCATGCAAATCTTGATGATAAAACAAGATGATTACAGATTAATCTTTGTAGTCTTAAATTGGGATAGAATTCTTGTACTTGTTAAAACATGTACATGCCTTATATAACATTTCAAGAGACTTTATGTAAACAAACAAATAAAAATTGTGTCACATACAACATGGAGAGCGGTGTACATGTACATGTATACAGAATCAGGTAAATTTTGAGTATGTGTGAAAAGAAAAATTATGTAAAAAATGAACTAATTCTGGTTGTATGCAAATGTTTTAAAGGCATCAGTACATGTATATCAAATTTAGCAATTTCTTCCTTTCAAATTGCCAAAAGAACAGGTTTCTCTAATGTGATGTTTTAATGATTTTTAAAAATTTAAACCAATTATTAAATTAATTAATTTAAAGGAAAAACCTTGGCAAGAACATGTCCAGTGTCTGTCCCTCTTCCCACTATGGTGAGGTTAAGACACAATACATGTAGCTATGTCAAAAGTGGAAGACACTTGCGCACAGACCCAGCAGCTCCCAGTCGTTGTGGTCACAGAAGTCAATTTTTGATTTTGAACAAAATTCTTCATTTCATTTCATGAAATCTATTTAGAAAAAAATTACCCTCTGCGAACCAGTAACAGACTTCTGACAACCTAATTCTCAAAACTGGTTGCTAACCAGAAAGCAACAGACTTCTGTCAACCTAATTCTCAAAACTGGTGTTCTCTCTGAGGATGTTTATGCAAATACCTTGTAATCTGAAAGCTTCCACATCCTGTAGGTTTCCTCGGCATACTGCTTTCCGAAAGTCATCCAAAATAATTGGAAATCCCTGCCTGTCCCTTTTTGTAGAACTGTTTGCTGATGACTCAGCATTCCTACCACCCTCCAAGCTCCTGTCATTATCTTGAAATGGAGTTTCTGTTGATGATTTGACTGAACCTACAGTATCCCATTCGGGAACATTTGCAGATGATGGTTGCTGCTACAAGAAAGAGTAAATGAAAAAGAAATGGATTGCACAAGCTTACCTGCATATTTATATATTGACACAATTCACAAAATACACAATACACAATTCAAAAAACTATTCAGTATCTTTTTTTAAGAGGCACTGAAAAGGCTCCAAATATTTTGACATCTAGGGGTTTTGGAGATAGATTTGCTACCCAAAATCCAATAAACAATTAGTTTATGGGCCAAAAATCAACACGAGAGAAATAAGGGTAATTTTCTTTCCACAACGAACTGATTTCAGAAATACATGAGGTCAAAGTTTGTGTTTGTGTTGGTTTGAAGACATAACAGGGAGAAATGCACGACCAGCATGCAGCGAAATACCGGTACATGCAAGCTGGCTTCGTTGTGCCCCAAATGCATTGAAATGAGGAGTTTTGATGATGTGCAGAAAATACAAAACATAGACATTACTCTTCACAAACCTAAAATCTTTCTCTTAGCTGGTAAAAATAACGGTGAAATTGGTTTTGAAATAAAGAAGTACGAGTCACTGAAGGTGGAGTGGAACCGTAACATATTTGCGTGGCATACATGTGCACTCATGTGCATGTGCAGTGGTAACGAGACTATTCATACACCGCAATCAACGTAGAGTATCCAGACTTGTATCAAACAGTCAGTCACGTGTATGTGCGCACATGTGTAGCAACCCACATGACTGCCTGATTGCCTGTCTACAGTTTTTAGTGTGTCACAGAAAAAGTGATGAACACACATCGGATTCTAATGGTGAAAGTGAGTGGATTCAATTCCTGTGACAGTAACTCTAATTTACTTTTCGATGAATGAGGAAGATGGCATGGAACCTGTCTGTGTTACGGGGTTGTATTCCAAACAAACTGGCGGTGGTCTAGCAGCACAGTACTGACATGACCAAGGCCATGACGGCAGCTGCATATGTGTTGCTTTTCTAAATGCCGACACTGGGTATTTGTCTAAGCAGTCCTCCAAAATTCTTTGCATATTACTCCTCTACAACAACTAGGAAGGTTTCAAATCTACCTTGATTGTGTTGAGTGATGTCCCGGAACAATTGATTCAAGGCGTTATGGCACAGAAACCTGGAGAACACCAACTCTCATTTAACGAGATTCCTGTCCAAAACTACAAACTGCACAAGGCTGGGGTACGTTTTATTTTATGACAAGAACACAACAAATCATGCACTTCAATCATTAACTTCATGGATGGAACAATCAACATATTGGAACATTGCAATTTTAGCATGCCCTCCACCATGAAACTCGCATGTAAATATGCAGTGTCTACAGCCATAGCCCCCCTCCCCCCAACATCCCAGGGTCACCGGCATATCATTGATATAAGGCGCGTTTCTCAAATCAGTGAAAAAGGGTCTCACAGGAGCCCAATTTTTTGACATGTTTTCGACCATGAAATGAGAAATTTGTCCCATTTTCTCTTGTCAATTTTGAAAGATGGACTTGTCACCTGTAAACAAAGCTATAATTGGGGAAAGAAGGGTTTCTTTTCATTCCCTCTTTAACGGATCAATGCAATGATTTTTACATTACTTTTTGTGTATCTTTAACCCTTTTTCAAAGTATGAAACTGTTTGAAAGCATTTTGGAGTTAAGAGAACTGTGAAGTGCACTTTTCCCAACATTCAAAATTGACTTAGCTTTTTCAAAAAAGTGAGGGCGATGTTTGTATGATGTACATGTATGTGCATGTAAATCCTAGAACACACTATTCAGTTTACGTGTTTTCTTGTTGAAATTTTGAACCCAAACTTTGCTCTAACAAAACATTTCTGAGAAAATGTTGCTTGCCGACTTATGGTAATATAACTACGACATTACATTGCCAAAGGAAATGGATAACTTTGACAGCAAAGTTACACAAAAATCTGGCAATTTTTTGTGCACAAATCAACACAACATTCAGATTTGGTGCTGTGAACAGTTTTGCTTATGAGTATGCAAATTCATAATAGCATAAAAATCAGAAAGGCCCCAAAATACTCCCAAAAAATGACAAAACAAAAATTGAAATAAGGTAAATGTAAAAAAAATTTCAAGGTTTTAGAAAAATATTTTCTATGATATGGTCCCTGTAAACACTATGCATAAATTGATTTTCATGCTACTATTCTACCTGTATAGAAGTGACACTGCACTGAAGTGTAACAGAGTGTGCTCCTGATGGATGCCAGTTGATTTTAGCTTTGTGTCTTTTAATTGCATATGCCTCACAGACGCTACACAGGGCTGAGAGGAACGACAGGAACTACTCAGCATTTAAGCTTGAGCTTCTGGCCATCCGATGGGCCGTCTGTCAGGCTTTCTGTGACTTCCTCATGGGGAACAAATGCATGATTGTAACTGATCACCAGCCACTGAAGTACCTGGATAGTGCCAACTTGAAAGCAATTGAATCCAGTGGGTTCAACAGTTGTCTTCATTTCACTTCAATCTTGAGTATCACCTAGGAAAGAAGAACAAGGTAGCTAATGTTCTGTCTCAGCTCAGCAACCATTCCAATGAACCTGCCGACAGTCCAGAAGTTTCAGATGTTGAAATCTCCTATGGAGCCATCTCTGCTATTGCTGGTCTTGTACCAGAGACCACTGTGGTCCCACCAGTGTTGTGTCACCAAATCCGAATCGTAAAGACAAATGGGAGCTGATGCCTGCCTAGGTATACATCATCTCAGCTGCGACAACTTCAGTGAGATGATGTTGCCCTGAGAAAGGTTAGCATGTATCTTCAAGGGGGGCAGAAACCTACCAGGGATGAAAGGGCTCAGGAGATGCATGAGGTCCTCAAGATTTTGAAGTACTAGAACCAACTCTACTTCAAGGAAGTTGTACTTTTTTGCCGGTGGAAGTACCCTGATAGGTCAGAGGGTGAACACCTGGTCATGCTAGCAGTACTCACAGATGTAGTGCTTTGTTATCTTCATGACAACGCTGGGCACTTCAGAGCCAAATGGACTTTGAAGTTGATAAGGCCCTCTTTTTCTGGCCCAGGATGGAGGCAACTGTCAAGTCGTGGTGTGAGCAATGCAGAAGATGGGTACACTTTGTACAACTGCCCCATTGGAAATGCTTGCAGTAGACTTCACTACATTGGAGCCTTTGTCTGATGGATACAAGAAATCCTGATACTTACGGATGTTTTCACCCAGTATGCTTGGGCAGTGCCAACCAGAAATCAGCGTGCTGAAACTGTGGCCAAAGCCTTGGTCAAACACGTCATAACTCCCTTTGAAGCACCCCTATGGCTACACTCAGACAACCGGAAATGCTTTGAGGCTAGAGTGATTTGGGAATAGTGTGCTCTTTGTGGTACTGATCGCTCACACACCACCCCCCCATCATCCCCAGGGGGACAGGCAGTGCAGTGTTAACAGTTTAACAGAACACTACACAATCTCCTCGTCACACTTCCTGCTGCGAAGAAAGCCGGGTGGACAGACAGCCTTCCACACCTCATTTCACTCTACAATACGACTCACTCCTCAACTGGTTATGAACTGGTATATCTGATGTTCGGACGTACAGCACGCTTGCCTCAGCATCTCTTGCTAGGGGTAGACCATCCTCGAGTGTGTGGATACATCCCTCATCTCTATGTGCTGACGTACTCCAAACGAATTGAGGTGGGGCAGATAGCCACTGAAAACCTGGACAAGAATGCTGCAGCAAGGAAAGCCCGTCACAAGGACATCTTTGAGCGCCCCGTCAACCGAGGAGAGTATGTGCTTATACGAGCCAGATCACACTAGGGCAGAGCCAAGATCCAGCACTATTAGGAACTCAGGCCCTACATGGTGGTTGGGTGCCCATACATTGGCCAGCTGGTCTACAGTCTGTAACTCCTTTGGTAGCAAAGAGTTCTCTATTGGATGGAGCTTAAACACTGCCCCTGGGAAGTTCACTTCAAACACCCGGAAGCCCCTTCCAAGGAGACCTCATTGTCTGCCTCTCAACTCCACCATCAAATAGCAATGCTCAATGGGGAAGATACTTACCTAGGCACCCAAGGCTGATGGGGCTGACATAGCTGCTACAGTGCTACCAGCTGCGGATTAACGTCCCCCAGTTGATTCTCCAACAGCTCCTCCACAGCAGTGACCCCGCTGTCAAGCTACTGGTCGGTTACTCCAGCACAGACAGACGTATCTCACCAGTCTTACCCCTACCAGAAGAATCCACACAATGCTGCCCTCCCAGCACTAGCCAAGATGGCTGACAGGATGCATGCGAGAGCCAGGCTTAAACATTATTCACAGAGACACAAGCGCCCAATCTACCACCGATGCGGATACCAAGGAGCCTCGCCCACAACCTCGAAGTTCCAGCCATGCAACCAAGGGTAAGCCACCAGTGAGGTACAGGTATCAGTCAAGCATCATCCAGCTACTCTACCAAAGCAAGCAGTTGGTTACAAATGACATCAATGCAGACTCTTCCAACACAGAATGACCAAGCCATTTTGAGCTGCTCCACCTACTCAGCACGGGAGAGGACATTCTGAATATTAGTGCTATTCACTGTGTAAATGAATAATTGCACTTTGTTGCTAAATAACTTAATATTCATCCAGCCAGTAAGAAAAAAAATTAGATCACCGATATTACCTCACTTTCACTACATCTTTGTATTCCTTTGGATGCAGCAGTGGTTGGATGTGCTCAATGGCACACTGTATTTGTTTCTCATGCCTGTCATCGAGGAGGATGACTTTATAATGTGGGACAATTGTAGGGTGGAAGAACCCCCATCGGAAAATGCTGCAATCCAGCCAAGTGGACAGAGGGTGGACTGTGCTGGGTGTGCTGGTCACTCTTAGCAGTGTGTGCTTTAGAGTGAACTACACATTTCAGCAGTCTACATGTATCTTCTGCCATCCTTGTTTCATAATAAATCACAGTCAAAACGTCACAGTTACCAGTGTGGGAGTTGTTTTACTGATTTGTCCCTCCCCCCAATTCAAGAACCCAAAAAATGTGTCCCACAAATTGGGAAGAGGAAGAAAGTAGATAAGCCCCTCTCACTGCAGTGGAATTACAACTTCATGGTATGCTGGCCATAAGTCACGGTGCAGAAACCTTGATCACTTGAGATGAGAACCAAAGCCACCTCAGAATTCTATTATCCCTGTCATCATCAGTCAGAAGAATAAAACAAAGAAGCAAAATTGCAGTGGATAATATACTGACTTATTTAAATGCCAAATATTCTTAAAGGTTCTTGAAGAAACGTAATTCACAGTACAAAATTCTGTGATATATCTTACAAAAAAAGATTACAGAACATGAGAAATCGTTGATTTTGGGGTATGAAACAAGGCCAAGTGATGGGAGGGAAACTTATCATTTAAGTTTTGTTTACACAAGGGGACAGACCATACAGTTGTAGTCCTAATTCAACTTCCCAAAAAAATGTAAATAAATAAATACAGGTATAGAAATGAAATCAATCCTTTTTTTGTTGTTTGAGCTCAATCAAAAGTCTCGTGAACTCGTCATCAGTAGAAGAATAAAACAGATACAAAATTGAATGTGAGGAATCACAAGGAATGATTTTATTCTGAAGTTTTGAGTACAGCACTGTACTAGTTTTAAATCCCAAATACTTTGAACAATCTGGCTTTTAAAGTATTTCAACTTGTAATACTCTGTGGCAATATTTATTAAAGACCACAAATTGCAATCAAAAATACATTATGATGATATGGCAAGGGAAATTTCTAAGTGAATGTATCACATGCTGTTCTAGCTGGCACCCCCTTCACCCTTCAAAAAAGATGTTAATAAAGAGAGAGAAAACTCTTTGTGTTCACAGCCAAAACTCCAGTTTTAAGTGATCCCTTGTTAAACCTTTCCTTTGGTTGATTCAACAACATATAGGTCCCCTAAGACTAAGAGAAAATAATAAATTATAAGATGGCATGTTCTTCATAAAATGGACCAAAATGCAACTCTGCAAGTCATTTTTCAAAACTTCTACAAGAGTGACTTGTAAAATACAAATTAGCACCTTCAGATTTATAAAAATGATTTTTTGAGGATAACTAGGCATGCTGTGTACATTTGGTTGGCTACCAGTGCAAATAAAATGGAGTTGAATTCATTTAAAGTTTTACGTCAAAGTGTTTGAATCAGAGAACTCGATTTCAAAACTCCTCTCAACAACAAGGAGAATTCAGTATATTAATGACGGAAGCCACTAAATTGCCACGATCGGTATTTTGCACTGCGGTTTTCGGAAACGTACTTGAAGAAAATGTGATCGGTCCATCCGTGAAAGGATGATGGTTTGGGGGTGCTTTTTTGCACTTTTTTCAAAGCTTGTGTTGTACATCGACTTTGATTTTACTGGCTGTTTTTTGCAGTCAATTTTTTTTATTCTAATGACAGAATCGAAAGACATGTCACGACTGCCGACTTCAGGACCCAATTATTTTTGAGAGGTATTTTTTAATTACGCAATTATGGTTTGAATATGTGAAAATATTATCACCTTTCACCACACATAAATCTGTGTAAAACAGCCTCAGGTATAATCACTCCCCACCAACTTTTATTGGCTAGAATTTCAACAGGTTGTTCATGTCCGTCACAATGCTGACGTTCGAGACTTTAATTAATCGACTCAAAGAAAGATGGACACGGTCATCATTGTTCCAGATATCAGCCATGACTTCCGTCATTTCATCAGACACTGGGAATTAATTCACTGCTATTCATTTCAGGAAAAAATGAACTGCAAAGTTGAACATTATCTAATAGTCCATATTTTGAGGAACCTGTCAGATGCATTTTCCCCGTTCAAAACTGTTACAGAGCCTTTACTTACAAACTACACGTACATGTACATAGACAGTCTGGGCAGTACTTCCATAAATATCAGTTTTGCAGACAACTGTATCCCCCATATTGATGAAAGAGTGCTCTCTGCCACTTAGCGAAAACACGACACACTGTTTACTTAGCGGACAGGCTGTCACCACAAATTTCAGGTGATAAGTCGGAGGAAAAGTTTTCAATTTTGCAGATATCAACAGATCATAAACTTTTGAAACTTTTTGAAATTTCTCTTTTTTGTTTCCATTTTGGAGAAATTTTTCCATTAACCTAGCGAAAACAAATAACACCATGCTATAGGAATGGGGTCCCCATCCCACTGTTAGCATAGACGGATCTACAATCCTGGACAAAATAGTTGGAAGACCTTGTGGGATGCGTGCTGAAAATAGCCCCCTCTCCCCATTCAATGTAGTGGTCATTTATTGGACCAAGATGAAGCCCAGCTTACCCAACATTGACAGGGGGTGAGGGGGAGGCATGTTTCAATGAGATTTGTCCAGGATTATCTATAAAAAGTCTGCCTAATCCTAATAGGGAGCGCGTACATCCCACTCTTAAAAAATGCTGCACGCGTATGCATGATAATAACCGCAACGGTACACCACCTCAACTGAAAAAAGGAGAGTAACTCACATCCTTTTTTTTCTGGTTCACTGTTGAAATGTTTCATCTGAAACCCAACCAGAAAGTAAAAAGAGCTCAGACCTAATTGTGTACTTCTCATGTAGCCATATAGCCCTTCAGAGCAAATAAAAAAAATTCATTTGAGAGAGATGTGTGCTGAAATTGTATGGTGCACCGTTCACAATGCACCCAACTTATCCTACTTTCAATGGTCAACTTAACTCGTGTTGCTGATACCTGTGAGCAGCAATCACATCCTTGCAAATTTACTATAAACCCTTCCACTGAAAAAAATCCCATACCGATGGGTGATCATAACCCATAGTTGTTGTATCACTAAATATTAAATAACTATTTACATCATATACTTTCTTTGGGGGGGGGTTATTAGGCTCTTAATAGGGCATACTACCACACCTCGCCTATAACAGTCATTACATGTATTTATTCCATTCCATAACCATCTAATGCTTCCAGTATCACACAGCAGCACCCAAAACAGCAACGCGGCAAACCCCCGCCCTCCCAGGTAACACAAACCCACACTCATGACACCCACTTTCCACTGATAAACTCAGACAATCCTGGACAAAATAGTAGGAACACCTTGTGAAAGAGCCCCCTCTCCCCCATTCAATGTAGTGGTCATTTATAAGACCAAGGTTAAGCACAGCTTACCCAACATTGACAGGGGGTGAGGGGGAGGCATGTTCCAACGAGTTTAGTCCAGGATTGTTGCTTTCAGGAAACAGGGTGGGGGGGGGGGATGATGGGCATAATGAAGGGATGCCCTGCTAAGGGGATCCACCGGAAATCGATTTCTGGGTAGACCTATAGCTCTACTAAGTGGAGCGTTAGTATTCCTCTTTTTCGATTTTGGACAAGATCGTCATACTGTAAATGCCAACCTCAACAGTTGGGGCTTCAGTGATATTTCTGACTTCAAAATCCGACTATTTTCACTTGACACATGCATAGCACTAAAACTTTTCGCTGTCTGTTCCTTTCAAATGTGCGTATCGAGATTTAGAATATGCAATAACTCTACGGGCAAAACATGGTCCTCCCAGAAACACGCATGAGTGTCCTATGGTCTGGGCACAAGACTTGTTGATCTTGACGGTTAAGAGTGCTACCAACGACTGTTTCCTCTATGGGCGAACATGGTCCTCTAACGAAATCGCAGGAGAGGCCCAAATGTAGTCGGGGCACAAGACGTATTATCTAGGAAACAGTCGCCCGTACATGTAGCTCTCCCAACCGTCATGATCAACAAGTCCTGTGCCAAAGAGCACATATAGGACACTCATATGCATGTTTCTGGGAGGTCCATGTTTCGCCTGTAGTGTTATTGCGTATTCCAAATCTCGACATGCGCATTTGAAAGGAACAGGCAGCGAAAAAAATGTGTGTGTCGAGTGAACGGTCCGAACGGTCGGATTTTCGAAGTATCACTGAAGCCCAACTGTTTGATGTTGGCATTTACGGAAGCCAGTAGGTGGTGATAGAGGTATTTTTGGTGAGTCTTAGGAATTTTTGAGAACTGTTTCATGTACAGGCGTGGAGCGTTAGTATGACAGGTTTGACGATCCCGTCCAAAATCGAAAAAGAGGAATACTACTGCCAATATATTGAAGTATTGCTCCACTTAGTAGAGCTAGTAGACCTAGGCCTACTCATTTTCTGTCATTTCACAATAATAGTTCCATTGAGTCTGCGGCTTAACGGGGGGTTTGCAACCCCCCAATCCCCCCCCCCCTTAGGCCTACCGTTGGCTGGTCTACCTCCATGGCTGGTTGGCCTAACGGTAGCAAAATCGTTGTTCCCATCTGTCATGTCTGTAGGTTATTTTACCCCTGTCCCTGATAATAGGCCTTAAGTTGCTTACATTCATATTTGAAAGTGCATTGCCGTCGATGATGCAAAGCCCATCTTCGTCGTCAGAATAATCTTCAGTGCCTGCAGGAAAAGCAGAGGTGAAGCCCAGACGATGCTCTGCCATGCCTGTCATTTGATTTTCGCACGCTACGCGTCATTCATTTCCTTCTACTATATACTAGTCCCTGATCGATCTGAGTCTAGTCGCATGTAAGTGTGATTCTACCTCCATGGTGAGAACTACGGCCGTTTAACTCGATTCGTCTCCGTTTGAGGCTTCGTTCCCAAAACCAATCCCTGATTGTGGGCCTGAAGCGTTTAAATTAAATTAGATTACTGTAATTTGTGTTTTTTTTTTACATCTTATTTGATGTTCTGTGGCAGTATTAGGCTGAATACTACGCTTACAGCTTCAAAGTCAGCTAGTAAACAGTTGAAGCCTGCGACGGAGCCGAAATCGAGTATCGGAAAACGGCCTTGGCCTAACTTGCATTGAAAATATGTCAAGTTGTGCACCGCCAACGCGTGCGCACGTGGACGGACCGGGTGTGTAGACTGGTTCCTGTTGACGGTCGACTGGGTATAGTCGACTGGTGCAGATCACTATCGCACGAAATCAATACCTTTTGAAAAAGGAGATTGTTTGGCCCCCAAAATGGTGAGATTGTGTAAATCGTTGCCAGGATCAACTTCCTGGGTCCTTTAGCTTTTATATGAGAGCAGAATGGCTAAAAACAACGGTTGAAAAATGGTCCTAAGTGCCCCCGCATTCTGAGGGTTACCACTTGACAAATGGCTGCAATCGGACTTCGGAAAAATCACTTTTCGGCGGATGGTTTTGTTTTGTGGGAATAATTAAAAATGTAATTGGTTAACCTGCAAAAAATTGAAAAGAAATTGAAAGATTAAGGACCAGACAACAATTTCATTGGTGTTTCTGAAATCTCAGGGATGTTGGTATGCATGATATTGGGCCCTGAACAGTGCTGATTTCACACTGTTTTCATTCAATGCGGCTTAAATTAGTCTCCAGACGTCTTACAGACGTCCTCCGAATGCGAACGCAGGCAATAGCCNTGGATACACGTACTGAAGGTAGCCCGGCGAGAGTCGGCTTGTTTTTCGGCCCGAGACCCAGCCGACGATTCAGCCTGTATACGCGATCAGGAGTATGAGGCTCAATATATGTATGTGAAGCCTGTTGATGAAATATGCACAGTTGTATTGGAGAATTGAGCGTCATAAGTGTTGATACATATTCCTTCGCGATTCGGTTTCACGTCAAAAACAATAATTCATGCCGTAAAGCGAGCCAGTAATTTCTCCAAAACTCGGTACTCCATTCCATGATCAATTGAACGAATTTCTCTTTTTTCACAAATACCAATCTATCATATTGAAACTTAATCAAAAAACATTCATTGAAGGGAAATGTGTGATAAACAATTTAGTTTAAAGGATGAAAAATCAGTCTTATTACTTTTGTTAGGGAAACATGCTTTTCAGCTATTCACAATTTTAGTATTCAACATAGGCCCTAGAATATTCCGCTCTAGCGACTTGAGAAAACGTGTACCACACATCATTAGTTCATCTTTTTAATTTCATGATTCCAATTCCTTGAGCCCTGGCCCAAATTCTCGGGTTTTCAGCAAGGGCTGCGTGCAACCGCTATTTCTGTGTGAAAACAACGGTTAAAGATGTCCATTTAAAAGCATTTTTCAAGAATGCGTATTTCGAATAATCTAGACGATACCGAAACTGCCTACAATAGTGTACCCTACATGTTACAAAATATTTTCTCTCATTTTTTATTTTACAACTAAAATTATTAGACCCCTGGTCATACGTAATTTCAGTAAGGGCTATATGGAATGGCTATTTCTATGCCAACGCTTCTTTAAAGATGTTAGGCCTATGTTTTAAGTATTCGTGTATTTCGAGAATGCGTATAAATTATGTACCATTAAACGATACCGCAACTGCTTAAAAAGTCCTCACGGTTTTTACGAAGAGGAGAATTGCTCACCGGAGAGTAAAACCTAGGTTTCGAGAAAATTGCATTTGAAGTTGGTCTCTTTTTCAAACACTTATGTTCCAAGTATTCGGCATGCCTTTGACTAACCAATGCTAGTCAAAGGCTTTGACTAACCAATGCTCAACGGAGTGGTGATGAAAGTTTCACCAAATATGGTCATAACTTTTTTCCAGTGGGCCCACTTGGCAAAGATTCCGCGTATATATCCGTCGCCCGTCGTGCGTCGCCCGTCGTGCGTCGCCCGTCGTGCGTCGCCCGTCGTGCGTCGCCCGACTTTTTGTTAGGGTA